CTTGTTGAAGGTATTAAAGTAAGGCAGGTTAATAGTATAGTACTTGCCAGAGGTGTCTTCTGTATTTCCCGCTGGATGTTTCTGAGCAGGAATACATCACATCCCATCTAAAAAAAGCGCCACAAAAAGGCATAGAAATGTAGTCCTTTTTAATAAAGAAATGGTGCACTTCTGCCTGGCTGCAGGTGGGGAGTGTGGAAAGAGCAGGTTATGATGCCTTTGGTTTTGACGTTTAAGTGCCAAATGCTTGATTCTTTTGTGGCTCGGTTTTCACTTGTTTGTAATTTTGCCAAACTTGAGCTGTTTGAGTTGAAATTTCCTGTGTTACCTATCTGCTGTAGTGAATATTCTGAGGAACCTTTGATCAATTTCGGGCCAGTGGTGCTTGCAGCGTACCAACAGCTATTTGCCACCTTCAGAAGAGCTTGTGATGAAAGAGAGAAAGTTCAGATATTTTGGGAAGGGCAAATCCTGCTCTAATTGCAGCGACCAGGGAAAGCCTGCCGTGCTCACCTGGGACCCGAGATGGGCTCTTGGTGCCTATTGATGGATGCAGAATTAGGTTACAATGCCTAGAAACTTCTAGGAGTCTGTGTGACATTTCTCTGAGTAACAAACGGGTGTATTACTGGCAACGAAATGCAAATGAATGAAGCATTTCAATCAAGAACCTAGGGATGGTATTTACCTGAGGAAATTCATTATAAGGGTAGAAGTTTTTGTTACAATTTTTTTGGTGCTGATGCAGACACATTTTAAAGCATGCGATTCTACCCTAAGTATGAGGGGGGGTGGCTTGCTTCTTTCCAGATTAAGCATAATTTTAGTGAGAATGATAAAACCAAATCTCCCAGAAATCCCTGTAGAATCCACGAGGAAGCAGATAAAACCATCAACATGTTTCACCCTTGCTGAATCCGTTCAAAAAAATGTTATTGAATTCAACAACGAGACCTCCCCTAGTATCTTCATCAATACAAGAGGTCACCCTTGATCAGCTCATTAAACAAGAGGCTGCTGTGGGCTTTGTGCTGCAGCCAGACAGTGAGGGAAATCCACCTCTTGAATGGGGGTCTGTTCAGGCCAGTCGTGTTTCTGGCTGCGAATCTGGTCTGGTATCACAGTACCTCGGAGTTTGCTTTCAATGGGAAATCTTAACACAGGAAAATGAAACATTTCTCTTCTCGGGAATGTAATGTGAAGTGAAATTAAGACCAAAAAATTTTGCATCACTTGAATTTTCTGTTTCAGTTTTTATTTCTTACTTTTTGTGTTCTATTTTATAGTGGGTTGGAATGAGAAAGTTGCTGACTGCTTGTTCTGGTTGGTGATGGTCTATTCATGTCCTGTCCACAAATTCATAATTTAAGTAGTTCTTGAAAACTGGTATTTGTATTCCCATGGGCATCGGCCACTAACTTTAAGGGTGTGGTCACAGTAACTCCAGGAGGGGACATTGGAAAACTGAAAGGATCCAGGCTATTTTGTGTTGGAAATCAAAACAGTTTTAAGAGAAACAACTTGAAGTCATTATGCTTTGCATAAACTTGGTCTTAATGTAAGTCCAGTCCAAAAGGAGACAGCCGATCTGGGGCTTGAACAGAATGGCCCATAATGTGCATCCATCTTGGGGTAAATTCACTTTGAGGTTCAGCTTTTCATTAAACCCTAGGGTACTAAAACTCCTTTCTGCACAAATCATGAACTGGTGGTGAAAGGAAAACAAGGCGGGCCGGGTAAACCGGGATTGAAGGTGGTCAGACATTCCTAATGTACAGCAGACAGATATGAAACAGTCCCTGTACTGTAAGAATACAATCCCCTCCAAATGGATAATCTGTTTCTCGTGAAAGACATGTGGCCCAATATAGAAGTTTTAGGTCAACTGATTCAGTTAAAGATTAGCCTCAATATTCTGAAAGAGAAGACTGTAGTTACTTATGGACTTTAATTCTTTTTATAAAGGATTATATTGGGCACCATGCTGCTGCTACAGTGTCAAATCTTTTTGTGGGTTTGCTAAATTAACCTTTGTAATAGAAAGGCTTCTTATGTGCTTCCACTCAAAAGAAGAGATGGTTTTTGAGCTTGTAGCAACTTGAAATGCCAATGATTGGGATCCTGATCTAAAATTCATATTTTTTTTCTATTTCTTCTAAAATCATGTTTCTCTACTGTTTTGCAAATGAGTTGCAGAGAGATTTGTCCCGCTCTGATTTGACATTGTGTGCAGGATACTTAAAATGGAAATCTCCATCAGAGGAGCAGAAACAAGTGCAGGTAATGAGGGGGAAGATACTGAAATTAAAGGTAAACTGATTATAATTTGTGAAATTATGTTTGGAAAAGTTACTTCAATGGATGTAATGTTAAGTCTCACAGTCATATGTAGTGAGAGGAGAGGCTCCAGTTGTAGGTAGTAGTATGTATGTTGATACATGTTTTCAGATGATGAATGTGTATTTTGGGTTGTACCTCCCTCAGTATTCATGGCAGTACACATTCTTTATGTTCTTATGTTAAGTTTGTGCAAAGTTTACTGTCCTGATCTTGAAAATCACGATGAGCTGATTATTACGAAACTCTGACAAGAACCCTTTACCCTGCAAATCTGGGTCAGAGCAATCCCATACAATAGAAATTATTGTAATGAAGTTGCCATGTGGTACTCTGTCATGTTTTACTGCTTAGCAGGGCAGACAGGGAATAAAGATACACAGCAATGAGTACTTTACCCCGTGCACTATGTGTGGGACCCAGTGAAAGAAATCCTGTCCCAGTGGAAGTTAATGACAGGCCAACTTGGCCGCCTTTTGACCAGTATGAGGGTTTCCCCGATGTGCATAACTTGTGTGTGTGGTGGGTGTGTTGCATAATGCAAACAATTGGTGGTAAAATCTAGTGTTTGAGTCCCTTACAAATTTACTAGGCTTGGGAGGTAGCTGGTTCTCATTACGCTTAAGGGATAGTATGAAGGACTTTGTCTCTGTAGATCCCATTTAGTAAATACTGTCATGTTTGAAAGGTCTGATCTCTTCCTTGTGCTTTTCCTTCAAATGCTGATTTACAAAAGGTGATGGTGACATTAGCATGAGGAACAAGCATGTTAGAACTTGTTGGGGTGCTATGGATTTTTCTCTTAAAAATAGCTTTTCCTTTTCATAGATTATCTTTGCTTTTGTTCTTAGGACTTGCTTCATAAATAGGCAATGTGAATACACTGCAATTTTCCTACCCATGGTATCTTGTAGCTTCCAAACAAGTTGTTTCTTTTATGTCCAGGAAAAGAATGTAGAGTGAAAAATTACTGTCCTATTTAAAAAAAGGCACTTGAGCAAACTGTTATTTTGATGCATCTGGTCAGTTACATTTTGTAAGACATTTGCCATAAAAATGGTAGGGTCAAATATTTCTAGAGAGACTTTTTGTGGCTACTGCTTTCCTCCCGGGCTGGGGAATGCTTGGAGAAGAGTATTGTCTGTGGATTTGGGAGATCCCATGGCAGCATTATGTTAATGTTTTTGTGCAAAAGTTTGCTCTCTGTGGTATTGAAAGGGTGTGAACGGACACTAGAGAAAAGAAGAAAATTTAAAGAGAATGCTAAGAGGGGATGAAAGGAAGCCAAGAAGTGATGGAGTTAGGAAGAAAGAGAAGATAATGTGCCATTCATTTTCTAGTAGCCTGCAGATAAGGTGATTTTTTTAGAGCATTTCAACGCTGCAGCTACAGCGTATGCTAATGATAGTCACAGCACTGGGCTAGTTTGCATATGCCATATAAATGCTACCTGCATACACACCAATATGGAGAAATGGATTGCCAAATCCCAATGCTGCATGTAAATGGATCTTCCATGCTTCTGTTTTAGTTTTAATTTTATTACAGAAACATTTTCAACATACAATGCTTTTTTTTGACATCTTGCGTAACATTTTTTTTATTATTAAAAGCTTTAGCTAAAGCACTAGTAATTAAATTGAAGTAATCAAGGAAAAAAAAAAAAAAAAGGGAAAAAGATCCTGAAAAGTTTAAATGCTGATGAGGGCTCTCTCCACCCTCCCCACCCCGTTGTTACTCCTTGAAATGGGAATCATGCAGATGGATACAACTAAGTCCAAATCTGGATTTCTCATTGGAGTCTAGTTTGCTTACAGCTAGAGTAACATGGAGTTTGGGGCTTTAAATTAAGATTTATTGGCGAAGACAATGTATTCAGTAGTAAGGTGAGATACTTGAAGTTGGTGTTGTGGTTATTCTAGAACAGCTTTGCTCGAGGACGTATTTATTGTGGTGTGATCTTGTGAAGTGGATTAATCTAAATGAGAAAAAACCCCAGTATATTCTCAATCCAGAATAAGCATTTCCCTAGGAATTATTTTATACAGAGTTATTGTGGTCAGTCTCCCTGCCTAGACAAGCCTTTATAGTTCTTATGATGAGTCCTTTCAGTAAGAGAATGAAGCAGGATTGTCTTTTACTGTATGTCTGTGTTTGCTGTGTTTCTTGTCATACCTCTTTTAGTGGAGAATAGACAAAAGCATAGGGCTTTGCCCTTGAGATCACGGCTATTAGTCTCCAAGAAGTTGTTGTTTTGGTCAGCGGGCAGAATTTTGGTATTGAAGCTGCAGTGATTGGAGGGTGGTCTGCTCCAAGGCTGTGGAGTTATATTAGGTGTGGAGTATTAGATATGGTAACGGAGACACCAACATCCTAGTAAAATACTGTGAGATGACACTTAGCAAACAGCAGCAAGGCTTCTTAGCCGTGTTTGAAAATTTTCCTAGAGTGAATCAAGAGTGTGTGATCCTATAAAATGGCTGCTGCTCCCGCTCAGAATTTGACTTTTGATAGTTTTTGCAGTGTGCTGATCTTAGCATCAGCCTCTTAGTAGATATCATCTGCTAATGCCTATTTGTCATCCCTTTTTAGAGGAAATAAACTTTCATTCCCCACCAGATGTGATTGTGAAGGGTTCAGTGAAATTTTCTTTCTTCTTTCAGGTTATAAGACCCTTTTGAAAGGAATTTCAGGGAAATTCAGCAGTGGAGAACTTGTTGCTATTATGGGTCCCTCGGGAGCTGGGAAGTCAACGCTCATGAACATTCTGGCAGGATACAGGTCAGTAACAATGGAAATCCCAAGTAAGATAAGATCACCTAGCCTGATGGCTTCTTGGAGACAACAGCAGAAGAAATCTTACCCAAGTGTTTGTAGAAAACAGGTATTTCACAGATTTTGAATTAGATTCTTATTGCTTGTATTTTTTCTGTTTGTCCTGTTCTGGTCACTTGGGATTTATCTGTTAACAAATCAGATCCAAAAATAGGAGGCAATTTAAAGTCCAGAGCACCAAAAACATTTCTCCTTTCTATCTGTGTAACAAATCTGACTCAATGTCTTATGTTTGTGATATTTTTAAATAACATTTTATAAACTTAAAAAAAATGGCCCTTTTTAGTCACCACTTTCCTAATGTTAATGTCTTCTTCACCAGACAGCAACATTGTGAAGTGATTGTGGTTCATATTCCTGAATTTCCTGTTGTATGGCCAAGTGCAAAATGTCTCCATATTGTTGTCATTAGGGCATAAGCAACAGGATAGAGAAACCTGAAAAAGTCACTTGAATGGCTTGGTATTTTTTCAGACATTCATATAAAACAGCACACATTTTGTACTAATTTTGAGTAAAATTTTTAGCAACATGGCGTGAAGGCTCTTATAAAAGAGTGTAATCATAAAATGAATCAGTTTCTGTCCACTGTATTGGATTCCATAGTGGACAGTAATTACCTAAGACTTCCACATGCTGAGACCTGTGGCAGCAAAAGTGAAGGCAAGCTTTACCCCTAGTTATTTTCTCGGTTCATTTCAGAGAGACGGGAATGAAAGGAGAAATTCTCATCAATGGGCAACCTCGTGACCTGCGCTCTTTTCGCAAAGTCTCCTGCTACATCATGCAAGATGACATGCTCCTTCCTCATCTAACTGTCCAGGAAGCTATGATGGTGAGCTTTGTTTCTTGCTGTAATTTATCTGGGTAGGACAAAATGGCATTACTCCTGGCAATGCCATGAACTGTTATCTCTGTTTGATCCCACTCAGTGAAAGTGCTTGAACTTCAATGATGCCTTGAATTCCCTTTCAGGCTCATCCTTCTAGGGGCTGTCCGAGCTTTTTTAGCTTTATAATTTTCAGTTTGTGACCAGCATTATGATTTGGAAGAACATCTAAGGCTGTACTCCTTAGACCTCCCAGAGAATGGAACCTGCAACTCTGCACAGCTTGAGCCTTTGTAGGCACCATTTTTTTTCTTGGGTGGTGGTTGACTAACCTTGTCTCTCCCTTTCTCCCCATCTTTCATCTTCTGACTACAGTATGCTGTTTTGACTTGAGCATGGTCTCTCCACTATTTCTATGCTTTCGTGCTTTTTCTTCAGTAAATGCACTGTGTAAAATGTCTTCCAGTTCTTCACAGGAAAACAACAGGAACAGAATAATCCCAGGATTTACAGGCAATGTAAATTCTTCTTACTGTTTTTCATAGCGTCAAGAAGCTTACTAATTGCCAGTCTAGAAGTGCCCATTGCTCAGTTTGAAAAATGAGCCATATTTTCTCAGAGGATGTTATGAAAATGAGGCTAAGGTTGCTCATACTGTATGCCAACATCAATTCACAAATTTTAAGGGCAGAAGAAAGTGTAGTTTTGTTTGGCTAATTTTCTGCAAAGGCTCTTCTCTGTGAGGAAGTTTTTCTTCTCCGTTGTTTACTTGAACATTGTATTCAGAATCCCATACGACCTCTTTTGTACAATTGAGCCCAGATGATACTTGCTGTCTCAATTAATCAATCAAGGCTCTGACAAAAATAATTGCTTAAGAGTTTAATTGCTTCTCATAAGGGTTAATCATAATGTTTTGTGGAGCTGCCTCTCAGGACAGCAGATGACATCTTTCACAAGAGTATTTATTTCTGTACTCATTTGTTCACATCTTGGAAAATGGCAGAGTTTTTTGGTTATCCTTATGATATGGATGAAGCATAAATAAACTGTGATTCTAACATTGCCTGGGAAGTTAGTGGCTATGCAAAAAACGTGACTCTTCCATTTTCATCTCAAGCTCTTTGACTTGTAGAATGGCCTTTCTTTTTAATACACTTCTTGTCAGATGCTTGAGTGATTGCTTAAGTCAGATTATACTTGTTATCTACTGCACAGGCATATGTGATGCTTGTGATTTGAATGTTCAACCTAAACTTTCCTGACTGGATTAAAAGAAGTTATTTGAATGGTACGTTGGGATGTTGTGCCTGAGACATCCACTAGTACTGGTTGTTGTGCTTCAGACCAGTTCAAAACCAATTCCATTGTATTGCATTCCAGGTATCTGCTCATCTGAAACTTCAAGAGAAAGATGAAGGCAGGAGAGAAATGGTATGTATATTGTCCATCAAACTGAGAATTTTTGGGCATGCCAAAGAGGTCCATGAAGTGAGCTCTGTAAAGTGGACATTTTAATTTAACATTGAATTGCATTGGACTTATAGTGATAGAATAAATCAAAGGTTACCTCAAAGTTGCTGAGTATCATTACGAGGGAATGATTACTACAGTCTGTACAAAAACTGCTTTCAGTATGAGACCGAGTAGATAATTGTAAAAGATCTTCTGAAATGAATTGACAGGTATTGTAGGATTCCTTTCAGTGTACCTTTGCACCTTAGATTCTCTTACATGCATGTCTGAGGGCTCAAGCATCTCATGTGTGGCAAGATAAGTCGGTCATGTGTGGCAATGGTGAGTATAGGCTTTAGTTTTTCCTAGGACTAAATGAAAAACTCAGCACTTCTTGTAACTGCTGCAGAAATATCTGTGCACATGTTTGAAAGCGTTGATCTTTATGGCTATGCTGGTGGGCATATTGTTGTGCTGGACAAGTTTATGCAGTTGCAGTTAAGATACAGACTAATCTATTTTGAAGCTACGTTGGGTGACTGAGGTTTGGACAAATAGAAGACCAGGCTAAACCATCCACATGTTTTTTTTTTTAAAACACTGTGAATGAGTTGCACAATTTACTCTTGCACATTTGCTGCACTGTCATGCTTCTGCCTGCGGCTGCCATACAACTTTCCTGAGTGGGAGAGAAGTCCTGTTTTTTTTTTCCTCTGGAGACCTGTAACCCAGCTGGACCTGCACTAGGAATTGTGCTGCTCCCACCCATCTGATTGCCACAATTCCTCCCCATCATTTGATCTGACACAGGGCTGTCCTTTTAAAGAAAGTACCTTGGAGGTGTGTGACCAGACAAAAGGGCTTCTGACATGTTAGTTTTGCATGAGGAGGCTTTCTCAACTGAATTTGGTTACCTCAGTTGTACTTCAAAGGGCTGGAAGTGTGCGCTTTCTACACATTTATTCTGCACTTAAAATGTCTCGGCCTGTGTATTCCTAAGGACTCTCAGAGCTTAGATGCCTGTCTCTGCTTGGTTGGAGTTACAAGAGCAAGCTGAAGCCTAGGAGAGGAACAGTTTGGTGCTGCACAGCGTGTTTCAAAACCATATATGCCCACCCAGGATAATGCCTGGAGCTAAATATAAGCAAAAAATCATGGCACTGGTGAAGGCAGAAATGGTTCTGGTTTTGAGAGAGTTGTGAAAAGTGAAACGGTAGCTCAGAAAGACTTTGGAGGTGTTTTGGCTGGCCTCAAGCTATGTTTCAGTCCAGCATAAGGCAGCATGAACAAGGAGACAGTATGATCTCTCGTGCCCTGCCTCCTTGAGGTGGAAGCCTCTGTTATGTGAGGGTTATGCTGAGGTCCAGTGGGGCTCATGTGATAACATGGCCCCAGAGCTAACATAGAGATTTGTCTTCCAAGAAAGCTGGCTGTTCCTTCTGCCCTTGCTAGGGACATGCATGTTACTCTGGACAAGTCTTCTAGTGGCTTAGTAACTCAGTTGTCCCACCAATGAAAAGGGTGTTGCTGTCAGTATAGGAAGCTCCCAATGTTTTTTCTATACTTACCCCTGTAAAATTCAAGTTTTGGGCTTTCCATGATCTTTCAGTGTTCTTTTTCATAAACAGAAAGAAGGGTGAAATTTTAATTTTGGTGCATTTGGTGCTCCCAAAGCCATGCACTGAGGAGGCCCTCTGTGGACAAATTAGGAAATCATGCAGGTGACTGGAAGAAGCCACCTTGCAGGACTCAACTGAAACCAAGCTGTGCAGGAGGAAGGAGGAGATCAGGGGACACAGGAGTGGGAGTGGAGCATGGACATTAGAAAGTTGTGGCCTTCTGTCTCAAGAATGTGAAAGGCTTCCTGCTCTTGCCCAGATGCCAGTTTAATTATTTTTTTTTCATCTGATGGAGGCCTGAGCTTGGCTTGTTGGACTTAACCATTTCAGAGGAGTCTCTTATTGTAGTAAAATTCATTTACACTTTAGTAAGTTAGGCCAAGCAAGTTAATCTACTTGTTCACACTGTCACTGTACTTACAAACAGGTCTTTGAGGAAAAAACTGTGCTGTATGCATTTATTCAACACATATTAGAAGGGCAGTAATTTTCTAGTTAAGTGTTACTGGGCGGTGCTGGGCTAGATAATTCATGTTGTAAATTGTAAGAGAAATGTTTCTCAGATAAATTTTAGGAATTTATGCACTTGTGTTAGCAAGATTACAGATGCTTGTTTAAAATAGGGACAAGTGAAAAATCTGCCAGTGAACCATAGTTTATGTTCCTAGTTGACCTAGATTGTGCTGCCCATGTCCTGTAGCATCCTTCCTAGATATA